AAATTAATTATTTTCACTATTTAAAAAGTGAGGGAATGACACTAATAGTGAGGGAATGATATTTTATTTTAATACATGTTTTTATCTAAGTTACATCTACCTAAAGTTTGAAAATGATAATATACTAAGTATATCTAATATTTCTTATAATTTAGTTTTATATATTTAATAATTTTTACAGGTTTGGGAAATAAAATTGGCTGGCACGATTGAACAAAAAGAAATTTAATAATATACTCATCTTGAATCATTCCCTCACTTAAGCATCATTCCCTCACTTTATACACTATTGAGGGAATGACAAATATAATAAAATTTAAAAATAACAGTTAGGCCTAATTAATTTCTGAAGTCAAACACATACAATTATATTCATACAAGAAAGCAACATATAATTATCCACTTTCTCGATGAAGTTGTATTTTATTTTACTCTAAAAAATGACATGAGGGAATGACAAATGTAAAAAATTTTACCTGGTCAAATTTATTCCACAGCAAAGCTTCTGTAAGTTGAAAATGGAAACATACTGCAATTTTGTTCTATGATGCCAGTTGTTAACTGCTAAAGTTTTTATTAAAATATTTTTATTTTAAGAAGATTGCGTTGTGAGGGAATGATGCGAAACACTAGGGACAAAGTTTAAAATAGTGCTGTGTTAATTTTTTTTTATCAGAAATTAAATTTAAAATTGATTTTCTGAATTCTATATTTCAATATTCTGAAATAAAAAAAAACGAAATTGTAAAAAAAAAAATTTTATTTCAGAAACAATTTTTTTCTTTCTTTAAATCAGCAGTGGGGACAAGTGAGGGAATGACATATTGGTATATTTTAATTACCTAAAATAATTAAAAAATAAAAATTGATAATTTTATTTTTATACTTTTGTTAGCCTGCATTCTGATGGACACTTTCCCTGAAATTTTTTTTTCGGAAGTTGTAAAGCAAGCATAATATATGCTGGGAACATGAAAATGACTGTTTTTGTGAGAATGACCCATATATATATATATACATATATACATGTATATATATATACATGTATATATATATAATATCTAAAACAAGTAGTTTGAATTTTTTTTTTTGTCATTTATATTCAAAAATTTATCAATGCTGATTTTTCAAATAAATGAAATTTCAATGATGAATTACTGTTTTTTTTTTAGATCTAAAAAAATGCAAATTTGAAATTTATGTAAAATGAGCCTTGCTTAGAAGATTTTACCTTTAATTCAGAACAGTGTACATACAAATACAGGTGTTTCATGCTGTATTTCATAACCATAAATTATTAAAATAATGAAAAAATATGAAAAATTTGTTTAATAAAAATTCTGCTTCAAAGTTCGTTAACGTTTTTGAATTCAACAATTTAAAAAAAAATGAAAGAGGAATTAATTAAATAGTTGCCAGTACTTAAAAACATCTCGATATTATTATTAGGACTTTTATGATATGCCTATGGTATGGTTTTTGAAATGTATTTATATGTCATGGCTGTTAAAATCATTTAAACCAAATTTATTTAATGTTAATAATCATTAGATTGGTTACTACTTTAGATAAAGTGGTAAAAATTTCCGGAAAAATGCTGGAGAAATTGGTAGCTTTGATATACATGACAGAGTGCTTCGACATACATTACGGCTCTTAATATATTATTTTAGACTCCATGTTAAATATGAAGTAAAAAACATACAGATGAAAAGGGGTTACCAATTAATATTTGAGGAAAAATAAAACAACATTGAAATATAGTATAAATAGGGAAAAAGGAAGAACATCAAAAATGAATTTGATCACCTGATAAACCTTGAAGGTGTTTCCAATAACTCTAAAGTCGCTGTTTGTTACGTTTCCATCCAGTAATCCTCAGTAGTGATTCTTAAGATTTCGATGGGGTTTTGTTTCCTTCGCTTCAATTTTAATTTGTGACGTTTAACGGGCATATTTTTTTACTTGATTTTTGACATGGATTCTAAAAATATATATTAAAGACAGACATCAGGAACAAAATGTATGTTAAACAATTTAACTAAATGCACTATAATCAGAAACTATTTGTTAAGCATTAAAGCAAGAACTATTTAACATAGAACTAATTTTAAGATTTGAAGTATATAAAATATTGGTTGATTATTTTGAAATATATTTTTGTTAAGAACTTTCAATTTTTGGTTAAATGAATTGAAGATAGTTAAATTGAAGGAAATCGGACGAATTAATTCGGTTCCTCTGACTCATCGTTTATTATGAATAAGTAATCTAATATTCTAACTATAACATAGTAATAATTACTAGTTATAGTTATGCATAGTTCTAATTACTAATAATAAAACATAGTAATTTTCATTAAAAATTAAAACTAAAATTAGATAATATAAATCTAACTGAAATTCGAAGTCAAAACTAAGGAAAATGTATAGAGTAGACCGGAAAGTTCGTGCTGATTTTTAACGAACGAAGCTCCCAAAGTTCCTCGAAAAATATTCGAGTGATTGCAAACTACTCATCAAAGCAATTTGTAGTTCACCTAATTTCGCTACCACTTGAATTTAGATAATATTCATATATTTATCCGACATCTATCTATGCAATAAGTTTCTAAATCTTTGTGGCGAGCAAGAAAATTTAATGGTCCATTTACTAGAAATATATGTTATATTATAAATTTTGCTACCACTTCCAGAATTTTTGGCGGATGTTTGGAAGCTCCGCCTATCGAAAATGCCACGAACTTTCGGACCCAATATTTACCCTTTACTGTTCGAGTACTTTAAAATTCCAAAGAAACTAATGTAAGCACTGAATAATTTAAAATGCAAAATGTTTATATAATAGCTAACAATTACAAAATAATGTAGTTACTAAATATTTTTTTTTTTAAATGTTCCTACGGGTCTTTCAAATTATCGACAGTGGTAGAAAATTTGCGATAATTCTAGCAGGAATTTCCTTTCTTAAGCTACAACTTTAAGATACGACTGCTAAAAATTCTCATACGGGTATATTTTTTTTAATGCATCTATATTTATCATTTAATCTATAAGAATGGTTAAGGTTTTAAATCAAGGCATGTTCAATCGATATGTTGAAATATGTTCAATCGTGAAAACTGTCAAAGAATTGGAATTGGACATATTTTATAATTTTTAAATTTCAGGAAAAAAATGCATTTAATCATATATTTAATACAATTTCAAATATTTAATACATTTGATGAAATACTTTCACAATTTATAGATATCAATTTAAAAAATATTATTTTAGTTTAAATTTATTTGATGACATGAAATGTTGATTTGTTAACCTCTAAAGAACTCACTACGGCAATTTTAGTTACGAGCTAAAATAATAAATAAGCTATTTAATTAATTAGGATATTGTAACACAACAGTACAAGCAACAATAAAATGAATTAAAACAAGATATTAAAAAATAGTTTTATCGTTCCAACATAGAGGGCAGTATGTGCATCGCTCTCTTCACTTCGTCATTTTCAGGATTCAGAAACTTTTATCCATAATTTTCTTCCTTTTGTAAATTGTTTTTCTTATTTACTTTTTCGCTGACCCCTGAAATCGAAATTATAGAAATAAGTTATCATTTTCAATTTTTTTATTGTTTCACCACAATATTGTAGGAACGTTTGATTCATTCAAAACGTTTAGATTATATATTTATTCGTTCAGAAATTTTTTTTGAATAAAATATTTCATTCTGGCTCATTGATTCATAATTTCGCTTATTTATTTGCTTATTTTTGTTCACAATTATTTTCTGAATAAAATAAGATTATTTGTAAAAAATTCTTATAATTTCATACAAATACATTTAAGACTATAATTCATTTAAAATTAAAATAAATAATTTTATTAGTTATGTTTAGTGCGAGCATCATTTTATTATAATATCATTCTAAACTCATCAGTAATTAAAAAAAATTATAAAAATACTTGCTTAAACTTCTCCTTAATTATTCATACTTAGTTTTGTTGCTTTTAGTAGCTGCATAAATAATTTTTAACGAAGTATTATAATAAAAATATTATATTTTGTCAAGAAAAGAATAAAATTAAATAAACAGTGCAAATAAAATACAGAAAATGTTAAAATGTTTATGTAACGATACTTCGATAATTTTCTCAGCTATTTATTGTCCTAGGAGTATATTGTCATCTTCAACTCAATTGTTATGTCTGTTCCTCTTTAAAATATCAGCTCTAAAAGACATCATTTCTTGAAGCTGAAAAAAAAATATTTGCTTTTAAATTCATATTTTTTATGCCTAAAAACATTTATTAAAAGCTACGTGTGTGCAGTGACATTGTTTTCCTGCTTATAATGCAAACAATGTGAGAGAATTTCTTTTAAATAGAATTTAACTTTAATAAAGTAGAAAATACTTACAATATCATTTAATTAAAAACTATGCATTTAAAATATTTTAAAATAAATAGTAAAAATTACTTTAACATTGAATCCATTATGTTCTAGAATTATAAATTACTTTTAGTATATCCTACATCTAGAAATGACTCCCTGGGAAGAAATATTTTATCTAAAAAAAGAAAAATAAGAGAAAAATCATTATTAATAATTTTGCAATATACGCATTAGATGGCGCCACTTTAAACGTCTTACAGTCATTTCGCCACTAGAAATAGAAAGTAGAAAACGCGCATTCTCAATTCCTGTATCTTATTAGGATTAAAGTTTGATTGCTCGTTTATCCCTTAATTAATTTTCAAATTCATTCAAATCTTGATTTGAAAATTAATAACTTCAAGATTTTAATTTTTATCATCATTGATAATAATTCTTTTGCAGCTCATGTATTATTACTTCTTTACTTCTTATAATAATCTTAATAAGACTCCTTTAATAATATATATTTATATGTTTTTTTTAAAAATTTGTTTAAATTTAAAACTTATGAATGCAAATTAATGAGCCAGACATGAGCAAAGGAGTTAAAAGCCACTTTTCCTCTTAAATACTCTTGTCAATCTAAAAATATTCTTTTATTAACATCAAAAACTAAAAGGATATTTTTGTAACTGCTGTTTTTTTTTTTTTTTTTTTTTTTTTTTTTTTTTTTTTTTTTTTTTTAATGAAGGTTTTAATTTTCTCTGCTCATTCAGGAAAAAATGACACGATTTTCAAGAGCTATTATCCCGATCTTTCAAAATTACTGAAGATTCTTAAAACAGCTATTCAGATTTCTGACAACAGTTTCCACCGACGACATTAAGTTCTATTATTGAAAAGTTACGGATATCTTAGTATCCAATAAATTGTCTAAGCCAATTAAAATGCGTCAATTCAAAATATGCAAATCATTTATCTTTGTCACCCATCGTTTATATATATATATATATATATATATATACACACACACACACTTTTTATATTTTACTAGAGCCATTTATTGTTAGAGTGAGTACTCATGAACACATTACTAACAATGAAAACAGTCTAATTAAATCACGTCACATAAAAATATCTAGTTCAAAATACTGCTTACATAAAATTCTTGCACGGTGAAAATGTATATTTAATCTAAGACAGGGGGTGGGGAAATGTTTTTGGGCGAGGGCAAAAATCTAGAAAAAAGTTTGGTGGGGTAAGTAAAAAATTTCAAAAATAAATAAAACGATATACAAGTTTTAATTTTAATATTTGAAATTGTGATTTCACTTTTAAAAGTTCCTTATATTGAGGCTCGGGGTGAGTTGTACTTATTTTAAGGAACGAGGCTACATGTTTGTCTGTTAGTCTACTTCTGAACTGATTTTTTCTAAGGTTCATAGTTGAAAACCCTTGTTCACTTATATAAGATGAAGCAAATATAGCTCCGATTTTCTGGGCGAGAGATATTAAATTTGGGATACTAGCTTCTGGTAATGGTTTGCAAAACTCAAACGTTGGCATGTTTACAAACAACTGTGCTTCAGGTGACTGTTAGATTGCAATTCAATTCATTGAAGCTGCAAATCCAACCTCACTGTTTAACAAATTACGTTGAAAGGGACGGTAAAAATATCTAATTATGTTTGAATGGCACTGAAATCATAAGATCTGTGTTCTCAAAATGAAGTTTTTTCAAGCCATCTTCATAATTCTTAAGCCTTATTTACTGAGGAATTAAACCTCAAGAAATGAGATAAGTCGTTCTTAGCTATCTGCCCAACAAACAGAAATGAGTTCCAGTTTAAAAGCTTTGAGATGGTCACAGATATCATCGATGAATTAAATGTTTCCCTTGTATCTTAACATTCAAGTAGTTCATATGAAGAAAGAAGATCTGTGAAAATGCTAAGCCAGAGAACCATTCTGGATCTTCTAATATTTCGCACTCTGCTGAACACTGTCTCTCGTGGAAGAAAGACACAATGTCGTCTGCACTAGACACAAAGAACACATTCTGCACTAAGCCACCCTACTTTTGTGTACATCAGAGTATTCAGATTGCGCGGACTGAAAAAACTCTCGGAATTGCTTGTGCCCATGACATAGCATTAACAAGCTTTACAACTACATCATGCACGGGCTTCATATTCAATCGAGATTTACACAGAACATCTTGATGCATAACACAATGTTGAAAAATAGAGTTTTTCCCGGGGTTGTTCTGATAAAAGAGTCCAAGGATTGGACATTTTTTTGGGCCGTAGTTTGCCCATCCCTGATCTGAGGTGTACTTGAATGCTGTACATCTTGAACTTTCTAAATATGCACGAACATTTTTTTTCTATAAATATACTTTTTAGATAACTACTAAATGTTGTGCAGTATCAGTCTAGAATCGATTAACTTTTAAATAAATTTTGAAGCAGCATATGCAAGCACGGCACCAACGTCTAAAGTGGAATAATTTTTATACGTTCATGAAAGTCTCAAATTTCATTTTTATGTATGAAACAGCGAAATTGATGCATAAAGATTTCCTTTTGAGCTTTATAAATTAAAATTAGAATGTCGTATTACATCAGAATTTAGATATGATGTATTACAACATATGAATAAATTCCACATTTATATGAATGCCTGACAATCATAAGATGGCATGATTAAACTTTATCACTAAGGTGACCAACGTCTTCAAAAAACTAGTAACGAAATTGCTCGAAAATTCGTGAACACACCTCTATAAAATTTTATCTGTTCGAGAATCTGGGAGGGATCTCTATTTTAATTTGGAAATTATTTTTGGATAATTACAATTGCAATTACATTTTGGCAATTACAATGGAGGCAATTATTTTTTAAATATTCGTATTGAATACCAGTTTTTTAGTTTCTTGGGAATACTAGTCAGCCTAGGTATATTACCCAGTCACAAATAAAATAGTTTATTTATAATAAACACATATGAAGAACCTAAGGAATGAAAAAGAAAGTGACAAAGTGGATACAATCAGGGTAAAAAGAAAAAAAGAGGCACCCAAATTATTTCAGTATAGATTTAATAGATGGAGGGACTAGTAAATATTTTTTTTTAACCACTACCTAATTGGAAATGAAAATAAAGACTCAAAACTAATGAGGAGGAATTACGTTATAATTATAGGGAAAGCACAAACAATTTTGTTACATTAAAGATATCCATATTAACGTGATTACTTTATGCTATTTTCCCTGATTAATAAAAACCCCTGAAAATGTTACTTACCTGCTTCATCCACTAAGTTCTTCATATCTGAAAAAAGTGTCAGTACATATATGTTTATGCTAAGTAAATATTTCTACTTAGTATAAACACATACCACAGCACTATTACTTGCCATACATGTTATATCCAAAAAACTATTAAATACTGCTGTACTCAGTACTGTTATATACCACTTAAGCATTAAAAAAATGCTACAGATCCGAATAAAAGTAATTATATAAAGTATACATTATGGTAGTCAAAACTATCTTGTTTCCGCTTAATAAATCCTATTAATGAAATACTTTCTTTATTATTTATTTCCCTTTATTTAATTTTTTTTTTAGAAACCGTCCCATTAAAGAAACGCTTGACACATATTTATTAACCGATCAGCACCCAGCGTCCTATTTATAAGACAGTTACTTTTTTTCAAAAACATATATTGTGGTAGGACTATTGTTTCAAAATCATCATTTCTCTTGGGGAATGTAAAAACCCTTAATCACCATAATTTATGTATGATTTAAGTAAAAAAAAGAGACAAAAATTGGCAGAAAGTAAATAGAAATAAAATGGTTGTAACAATAGAAAATATCCAATTAGTTTGAATAAATAAATCGTACCATTTTCATAAAGCTACCTTTCGTATTATTTAGATATAAAAATCGGGACAAAACAAGTTAGGGCTATCACTATAATGCGATGGAAACAAATGTCTTGATACTCATAAATATTTTTGATCAATGAAATAATTTTACTACTTTTTTAATTATTTAAATGATGCATTAATTAGGTTCACTAGCGTCCTAAAGAAACTGGTAATAAAGTCAGTAAAAGGAATTCACACAGCCTTATTTTTCTAATTTTAAATTCTCAGAACTGAAGTCACCGAAAAAGGATTCTCTAACGAAAGTTATTATTTTTTAGAAAAGCAAAGAGTCTTTGGATGTTCGTTTAGAAACTTACTAATTTTTGAGTTTTCTCAGGACTTTGGTAAAAAATATCTTAAAACAGTTTTAGCCTTACTTTTTTTTATTAAAAATACGAAAAATAATTTTATGAAAAAAGGTGAATATATACTTCAAACTAAAAGTATATTTTCTTCTCTTTGCAACCATTTTATTTAAAAAAAGTTCCAGCTTCTATTTTTAGGTTTAATCTTGGAAATTAATATTTTACTGCTAATCATTTATACTTTAATAGAAAAAATAATAGGGAAACAATTGAAGATTTTCTGTTGAAAAAGAGATAAAATTTAATAGAAGACATCGATTGAAAGGTTATGAGTTGCTACCTGCTCTAACTAAGGAGAAACTCCGAAGGTGCAACTAATAGGGCTCTAACTAGGGAGAAACTCAGTAAGTGGAACAAATGCTCTTTAACTCTAGAGAAACTCGGAAGCTGGAACTAATACCGGAGAACTCCAAAGGTGGGACTAATAGAGCTAACTAAGGAGAAACTCCGAAGGTGGAACTAATCGCGGTCTAATTAAGGAGAAACTTCGAAGGTGGAACTAATAGTACTCTGACTAAGGAGAAACTCCGAAATTAATAGCAATTCCCAAACTTTATAGTGGTAATAACCACTAT